CCCAGGACAAGCTGTGGCTCCATCCCATGCTTGCCCCAGCACCACTCCTCCCATATCACGGGGGCCTTCATCTGCCCCCCCACATTCCTCCTCTTCCCCCTCCCCTTCTACCACACCAGACTTACCAGCTGCATGCAGCTCTCCAAGCTGCCAGGCTGGTATCATAAATCAAACTGGTACTGGCTGATATGCCACCTTAAAAATCAGCTATTGGTATTGGCCCCAAAAATCTCTATCAGTGCACTCCTAGAAAGTACACATTTTCGAGGTCTAACTTTATAGCTTGTTGGAGGTTTTTATTGTGTGACAATTACTATGCACATGTAAGCTGGTCTCCAGGTAACTGCACAATTAACCAGTTAATTGCACAATACCTGTAACATGTAAAGGGGGCCTTACTCCCCAACAATTGTTGCATAAACCCTTCAAAGGAGGTGTTGCTCAGAGCTTTACTCTGAGTATCCTCAAGAAAACTACTATGTGATGTCACTGTTCAAAGAATGTAAAATGTGAAGGCTTCAGCCTGGTACTACAGAGCCAAAGTTTTATTCTCAGGCCTCAACAGAGTCATTCTAGACCCGTCTTCTTTGAAGTTCTAACTCTGTAAGCTAGTGTTTGTAAACTCCTGAGTAATATTTTAGGAAAGCTGTTTCACACTAGGTTTTCCATTAATAGAAATCCACAGCTGGAGAAACACACGGGAGGGATATACAAATAATGTAATTTTAAGGACAGTGGGGCTACAGGAAGAAAGAATTCCTACATAGTTCAGGAGTGAACTGCTCACAAGCACAGTCTGCAATTTATTATTTTTTTAGAATACCCTGACTCACAAAGAAGGTCATCATCTGAAATATACACAAGTAAAAAGAAAAAAAGATACATTCTGCATGTTGCTTCCTGTACCCTCAGGAAGGTGGAGAGCATAGATGTTTGTATGGTCTTAAGTTACCCAGACTGATTTTTCTACAAAAGGATTTTCCAGACTAGAAAAGCAAGTCAATAGTTCAATCACTAAGGGTGCCAAATCACTCCCAATTTCCTGTTCCCCTTTCCTACTTTGCCTCAATGCTCTTATCCATTTGTAACCTATTCCCATCCAATATCCAGAAAACAAAAAATAGCACCCACAAGCTCACAACCTTTGTTGCACCCAGGAGGATCCAGTTCACTGAATTATGTAGTTAAGGGTCTTAGTCTTATGAAAGTCAAAAATAAAGCACATTTAGGCAGAAACCCGTGCTTGAAAAAAAATTGAACAGTGTTTGTTATCTGAAATGTCTGCCTAATGTAATACCAATATAAATTAAGAATTTTCTGATATTTTCCAAAAGTATATTAACTTGCTGTACAATTTTTACTATATACCACAGATTCCACATCACTGTGCCACAGAAATGAGAAAGAACTGTTTTAGAATTTAGGTTCAGTTCATTATAGTACAGATGACACCATCTTTCTCAGTATGTTTGTAACATATACTATGATTTTTGACTATGTCTAGCATTAGGAGCACTTTATTGGTAAAAGAATCCTGCTACAGCATACTGGCAAAATACTTCCAGTACAGATGGAAGTACTACACCGACAAACCTAGACTTCATATCCATATAGTAAGCCCACCTGTCTTGATCTATGCCAGTGAAAAGTAGTTAGATGTCTAATTATATTTATGCTATGGGCTTCTATTAGCACAGCTGCACTGCTCAGGGCCAATAGCTAGTCACACCTCTGGCTGACACACCTATGCTAGCAACAAACTGTATAATATAAATGCTGAGTGTACTGTAAGCAGAAAATATGGAAAGAGGATTACAGGGTTTGTATAACAGTAAATGGAGTCAGAAGTACACCTTGACTTTGCTGTCATACCGGTGTTTCAGTGGTTGATGTAGCAGGCTGTTGTAATGACTGTGGTCGGGCTTCCTCTGACTGAGTCCTAATCAATCCACTAGCATGTCCCTTAGCAGTATCTCCATTTGTTACCTGAGGATGCTGCTGGGTCAAAGCAGCTTTCAGTCTCTGAAAGGAAAGAAAATATTTGTGCACATTTTTCATACTGGAAGAGACTATGTGATGTTAAGTTCAATTAAATAATAGGTATTATTTACATTATGGTCATACTAGCAGCTTTTTTCAAAACATGAGTTCACATGCTAAGATAATAAACAAACAAATAACTTAGAAAATAAAATAACCTTCTCCTGAAATACTAACAATCTAACTGGCCCACCACCTCATTCCATATGCAAAGCACAGCTTGGAAGAAACCAGAGATAACTGTGATGAAAGTGAACGAACAGTGGTTTGGGTCAGCATGACTGGTGGAGTGAAGTACACAGGGGGCAGAATGATAAAAGGGCAACAATAAAATCAAAAAGAATGTTTCTTTCAGATGAAATTAGGGGAATAAAAACAATGCTGGTGGATTTACATTTGGTTTTTAAGCAGATTCTTTGCTCCAAGATGATCTTCAGTATGCATAAAAAAATTACAATTTACCCAGATGTGAGAATATTCATATAGTAGTGGAAAAGGTAAAGATACTATGCAAGTTCTTAATATAATGTAATATCATGGTTTGCAAAAGGTTTTACATTATTTGTTCATTGAGCATCTACAAAAGAGTAACTTAACATTTTATCTGATAAACCATGTGCTATATTTTAAAAACTGATCCGACTGTTCTGGCTTATCTGAAAATAATGTTTACTGTCCTTTTGAAAAGGAAAGCAATTCTTTCACCATAAATATTTTATTGTCAATTGGAATTACAGCAGATTTTCAAGCAGAGGTAACATATTCTCTTTACCAGCTTTTATACTTGCACTACATAGACAGACTTAACTTATTTCCATGGCCATTCATGGATTTGTGTACGTTTTCAAATCTATTTCCTCTTACTAGAATATTTTACTCAGTGTCCTTACAAGTTAAATGGTATCAGAACAGATTTCCAAAAGTTAGTGTTATACTTAAAACCATCAACTGCTATTAAAAAATGGATGAGTATATTTTTAGTAATGACTAGGTAATCTATTATTTGACAATTTAAAATATACAAATATAAAATATACAGAACCCTCAAATATTCTCTACTATACCTTATGGCTACTTCCCACAAAAACAAAAAACCCAATATTTATTACCCTAAATAAATATTATACATATATAACATATATTAAATTACCCTAACCAAATAAATATTTCTGACCATAAATATATCCTTTGAGTGCTTCACGGTTTAAAATTTACATTCAGCTTTGCTTGCAACACAAAAGCGTGCAAAAAAGGAAAATTTCAGGCAAGTTTTCTCAAGCTGTATGGTAAAGAAGGAGTATGCTATTCCCTGCTACTCGCTATTCATCCTCTTTAGTTGCAAGGCAATGACTGCAAAGAGACACCACCCTCCTGGGAAACCAAAGGGAATTGTGGGAAGTGATGAAAATTCTTGGGGTACCTACAAATCTTACAAGGGGCTAAACTGAAATAACATAAATATTAATTAGTCCTACATCATCTGGAACCAAAAGGAATATGTTAAGAAACAAGGAGTAACCAGTGGTGATGCTTAGTTGTAATGTTGCCAACATTTTGCATGTAAGCTCCTAGAGCATCTAACTGGGGGGAGAAGAAGGGGGCATGCTGGAATTTTCCAAGTTCATGATACCTAAAGCAATGTTTTTGGACAGTTTCAACCACGAATGCTCAACTAAGTTTCAGGATTTACCCCAAGAGGATGAAAATAGGTAGGTTTTTTTTCCGTGTTAAATGTCTCTCTTCTGTCACTTACTTGAAGAGCTGTAGAGCCTTCATGTTTGAAGTCTGGAAAGAGGAATAGTACCGATACAAGGGTTTGAAGGCTGGCAAGAGGGACAGTACATATTTGCTATCTCCATGAAAACACAGTCAGGTCTGTCCATGATCAGTTTGTTGCTGGCTTGTTTCTATAAAGCTTCTAAATATTCATTTGAATATTCATCTCATCACAGAATTCCCTACGTACCAACTGAAATAACCATGCTTTCAGTCCTTGATAAGCTATCTACTCAGTAGGCACATGGCTAGCTCTTTCAGAGAACAGCCACCATTTCTTTCTGCCCTATAAAAAGATGGTCTGGGTTGACAATTAAGATCTATTAAGTTCTAGCATCAACTGTTTTTTTTCTGTGAACTCTGCAGCTCTGATTTTTTTTCAAAGCCCTCAAATCCAAGTTCACATCTGTCAAGCCAAAGGAATCTAGTTCCTTATATAACAAATCACATTAGCTGCCTTTCACAATGAATATGAACTTTATGTTGTGAGTTGTGGTCTCTAACCACTACGATTCTCTCCCCTTTACAGTGACAAATAGAAATTATGATTTGATTCCCACCATTTGTCCACAGTCTTGCAAACAGGCATGCAAGCATTGATAAGCTGTCTGCTACTTGTAGTGACTGGTTTATTTAGAGAACATCAGTCTACACTACTGTTACTAGTTACTGTTTTAGGTAAAGTCAATTTGAAAATACATGACAGGCACATAGAGCATTGTATGGGCATTCTTATTTTAAAAAGCTTCATACAAATCTTAACTAAACAATTGATAGAAGTCTATACTATGTTTATAAAAATCAGAGTTCAAGCTGATAATCCATGAAGGAATCAATTTGTCCACAAGACAGAAATTATTTTTCAATTTGATTTTTGAAGAAACTAGGAAATCCCTCACAAAAATATTAAAATAAATGTTAAGGTTGCCAAGTCAATCATTCTAAAAATTATGGAACCCAGGAATTAAGATTTTCCACACAAATTTAATACAACTCCCTTAAGCACAGATCTAGCTGATAACTTTTAATGACATGATCATTATTATTTTTTGACCTCTGCTACATTCAGGTCTTAGGATGAACAGTGAAAGGGGAAGGAAGTTACAAACTACAGATAAGATATTCTCTTGCATTTAGTGCATTCCATTAAGATTTAGGTAAGCAGGCATTTGCCTCCGGCTCTACTAAAAATTCAAAGAGCATCATAATGCAAACATGCACAGGACTAAATTAATGGTACATGGACAATATTGATTATGATATTCCCTAACTTTTGAGAGGCTGACTATGCAATATTAACATTCCTTTAACTGTTTTTGTATATAGAAGTAAGTACCAATTAGGCCCTGCCTCTTTTTTATGGTATTAATACTACACATTTTCCTGACAGGAACACAGTGGGTGCTGCTAAAACAGTTATCTTGATAGAGAAAGATTTATGACCATACCAGCAGCCCTCCCCTAAGCTAAGGAACTCAGCCTTAGCGAACATCAATGACACAAGAAAACTGGAGGAAATCAGGACGGAACCAGAAACTCACACAATTTTGTGCGTTTCAGTGTATAACCACTATTTCTGTTGTATTATATAACATTCTACAAATCCTAAAATTATTCATAAAAAACTATTCTTTTACTATTATGAAGACACAGGCTATATTACACAAAAGATTGCCTGTGCTTTGTTAATACAACCCTGAAAAAAAACAAACCACTCCACTTCTCAAACTTGAAGCCTTAATAATTCCAGTCAAACGGGAAGCATCAAAGGTAAGTAAGCCCTTTTCCCACTCAGCTCACATTAAACGCTGTTGAGTAATGAATACTGAATACAGAAAAATATTTTTCTCTCTCTTTGAAAACAAAGCTACTACTATTTAAATATAGCAACACTTCCAAAACTGACAGGGAGATGTATTGAATAATCAACTAAATCTTCTATTTCCAGAGCTTGATACACATTTTGTAATATGACAAATATGAGATCATTTTCTCTTTACAAATCATTTGAAAAGCCTGATTTTTCTCAAATACATTTGACAATTTTAATCATCATCTGAGAATTTCAACAAATTATTCTTGGATTATGGCTTGCTGATGAATTCGGAAGCTAAATTAGGGATTTCTTAGAAGCATATGTGATGTTTCTATTTTGACTTTAATAAATGTTTCTGAGACACATATTTACCAATTCAAAGTCAGAATCTGTTTTATGCAAATATAAGCACTGAAATATTTTGTTATTCAATTATTTGGCTTATATGGTATTTGAGTGATGGTTAATGGCCTGGGAAACAGAAGAGACCAGACCATCCTATATGATCTAGTTGTCTGTTCTAGACGTAACATACATGAAATCTTTGACTTTGGCAAAACAAAAAATCTTTTACCTTTGTTCAACACTTGTAGTTTTTACCTACAAACTTTTACGATTCTATAGAATTAAATATAAAAATTTCCCTCCTGTTAAAACAATGTTGAAATTTCAGTTAAAAATCAAACAGAAAATCCAAAAATTAAGGTTCTGATGTTAAATTGGCCAAAGTAAATCTTTTTTACTACAATATATTCATTTTAAAAAGTCACATGATATTACTGCCTGTACTGCAAAATGAATATCAAGAAGTACAAAGGACTTTCAAATACTGTTTAGGACCCACAAACTTTGTTAATGTAATGAGTGCACAGAGTGTATAAACTACATAGAAAGCTAATAGCTACATGTTTTAAAAATACTATTTTGGTATGCAATTGTAAATAAAAGCCATTTGAAAACTAGTTGCACAACTGAAACAAAATGGAGGTTATCACAAAGATGGGAATACAAAATGATTCTTTGCTTTAAAGAAACACTGTAGAGACTGAAAAAAATGTAAAGGAAACAAATTTACTAGAGGTGAGAGTTATCCAGAATAGCAGAAACAATGGGAAAATTGAATGAAGAAATAGTACGGGATAATTTAGAAAAATGGAGCTAAACAAGGAGAGCCTTGTATTTTAAAATACCATTTCAAATGATACCGAATGATTACTCCAATATTTGGTATGAGATAGATGTACTTCTACTAAATAATATGGTAGTCAACCAAAAAAATAAGAATTTTAGTTCTTAAAAATCTGATACTTTAACATGTACAAAAGATCTGAATTATTTGAATTTAAGCATTAGAATTACTATTATATCTTAATTGGCAACTCTGCTAAAT